AGTAATAAGACTTCTGGCCATTTCTCAATGGCTGGTTTCTTACATTGATAATAAACTGGTTTGCCTTGAGTAAATCAGTTGGCTAAGTCAACATCCTGAACAAAGGCAAATAAACAACATTATCCCTTAGTGGAGTGTTGAACTTAATGCAGCTTAGAAACGGGTATCACTTATGAACATGCTGTTTCATGTTTAGCTTTACAATTTAAAAAAAAGTGGGAAGGAAAGTGGCTAATGTAAAATAGCAACTGAACTTTAAATATTCGCACCCATCTTTAACATAGTCTAACATTTGGGGGGCTGAATTTATTCTTAACTCTGCTGCCTAAGTACTGTAGTTTAGCAGCTTTCTTAGAAACCATTTTAATTAATGGATTAAAATTGCTACCCATAAACTCTATAGCCTTGTATAAGCACTACATATATGTAATTCAACATCATAAACTCTTGATAGGCTTATGCTGTAAAAAGTTGGAGTTCAACTTTTCATCTACTAAACATGTTTAATGCGAACAAAAACACAAACCCAACTATGAAGTTTTAGCTGGTTGGTTTTCAGCATATTTTAGCATTAGTTCATATCATAGAGTAAGCAGACCAAAGCTGTCTGAAATTGCTAAATGCTGGAAAAATCATAATCTGGGCATAGCTTAAATTCTGGTTCATGAATTTAGATTGTAAAAAGTTATATGTTTCTTAAGTTATCCTTTTCAGTTTGTTTATATGCAAGTATCAGAAAACTTACCTGCCCATAATATAAAGAAGCTATAGTACGCGCATGGTGATTGCACAGTTCTGCAGTGATAATGCTTAACATGCCTGCCAGATAACAGAATTCCTCTAAATAAAAATACTCTATTATTTTGTCTGCTGAACACTGCTTTAAAATACTATTACTAAGAAAATCTGTCTCTGTTTGTCTAGAAATTCCTGATGTTTTGCATTATAACTTGTATCTTCCTTGAGTTTGACAGTGCAGGCTGGAGCTAAGGAAAGTTCTATAGACTGTAAAAGGATATTCTAATTAGTCCATATTTTATATTTAGTAATGATTGATGATTTCAAGAAACCAATAAACAGTGCCTTAGAGATATATAGTCAGCGGTATACAACTTGTGATTATGGAAAACTTGAAGATTCAGTGCAGCTACGTGAGAATTTTGAGCTATAGATGCAACTCAAAGTCTACTTTGCTACAATTGGCTGTGCACAAGTTGTACTTGAAGATTATTATCCAAGCACACTTTACAGATTACTATTTACTACTAACTTATGTCTATTGCTTGGGCAGGGCAACTTTTTTTTCAGTCATGTTGAGGTAGAAAAGAGAAAAAACATAGTATAAGATATAAAATGGACATACCATACAGAGAACATACCATACAGAGAAATCTGTAAAGTACCTCCAGAAGCTACCTATTTCATATGTAGGATGCCACCTCACCCACTTTGTTACCATAGATCCTGAAATGTTGTTTTTGATAGAAGAGAATATTTGTGGCTCAGGATTGAACTGCGGGGTCCTTGGTGTTCTCTGAGCTTCGTTATTTTCTTGCAGATATTTTATTATCAAACTAGGTAACATCATCAATTCAAGGAAACACCCAACCAAGCTCAATCACAAACTTGCTTCTTATCCATCAAAAGCTTGATTACCTAGTACTTAATTGGTCTCTAGTAAAATAATTTATAACCTCAGGAATCTCTTAAATAAATTAAATGGTGAAACTATGAAGTTAAATTAGAACCAGAAGAAGATGGAGTCAATGAGAATTATAAAATATTGTGTACTAGGACCGTGGGTTATGCCGGAATGACTGAGGCGGAGACAGGAATAAAGAGGCTAACAAGTTTATTCCTCAAAGTAACAAGCTAAAAGTGTGGAACCGGCTTCAGATAGGAACAGCGGCTTGTTGTCGGTAACGATGAGGAAACGGCGGCCGTAGATGTAGTGATGGAACCGGCGCACCCCGGCCACTATTGCGAGGGCCTCTTTGTCTATTTGTGCATAGTTCCGAAGGGGACAGGGTGCGGGAGAAGAAGGCCACTGGAACCTCCATGCCGGTGGGCAATTGGTGGCAGAGGATGGCGCCAACCCCGTAGGGGGAAGCATCACAGGCAAGCGCAAGAGGCAAGTGTTTGCTGTATTGGGCCAGCACGGCGTTCGAGACAACCAAGTGCTTGACAGCACGGAAGGCGGCAGCTTCCCTGCGGCCCCACAGCCAGGGTGCGTTAGAGTCCAGGAGACGGTGGAGCGATTCGGCCACGGAGGGTTTGTGGGGCAGGAAAACTGCGTAAAAGTTCAGGAGTCCTCCGGGATTGGGCGGTCTATAAATCGTATAAATAAATAAATAAATAAATAAATAAATAAATAAATAAATAAATGGCCTGTAATTCGGCTCTATTTTTTGGAGGAGGGGCCTCCACGATGGCTTTGGTTTTGACAGCAGTCGGGTGGATGCCTTGGGCATCAACTAAGAACCCCAGGAACTCCACCTGGCGGACGGCAACTTGGCACTTGTCTCTCCTGACCTTAAGGCCAACTTGCTGGAACCTGTGTAGGACAGCTCTTAACCGCGCCATCAGCTCACCGTAATTGGATGCAGAGATGACGACATCGTCAAAGTACGGGATGACGCCTCGTGTCCTTGAAGCAGCCGCTCCATCAAGCTTTGAAAGAGTCCTGGGGTGATGCTGACCCCAAACTGCAACCAGTGGCACTTGAAGGCGCCCTGGTGTGTGATTATGGTTTGAGCTTCTGCCATGGCATCGTTGACTACCAGCTGCTGGTAGGCTTGGGGCGAGGTCCAGCTTAGCGAAGATGGAGCCTTCGCCCAAGCTGTGAAGTAGGTGTTGGACCACCGGCACCAGGTACGCGTTGGATGGCAGGGCACGGTTGATTGAGCAGCGGTAGTCAGCGCAGATCCTGACACTGCCATCTGGCTTGATGGGCAAGACGATGGGGGTCTCCCATCGCATGGTCCACCGGCACCAGGATCCCTTGGGCTACGAGCTTGTCAAGCTCCACGTCTACTTTTGGTTTGAGGACAATGGGCACCCTCCAAGGCTTCATTCTGATGGGTGGCACGGACGGGTCGAGGTTGAAGGACACTGGGGTGCCAGTGTATTGGCCCAGCTGGCCATCAAAAACTGCAGGGAACTCGTTTACAAGGCAGTCCAGATCTGAGTTCCCGATGTGATGGATGCCACTGATTTGCAGGCCGAGGGATTCAAACCAGTCCAAGCCAAGAAGGCTGGGAAGCTTTCCCTCTACAATGATGAGTGGCAGCCGGCTTTCAAACCCCTTGAATTGCACTTTAACTTTGCTAGTGCTGATCACAGGAATCAGGTTGTCCTGATAGTCTCTAAGAGTCAAATTGCAACTCTGTAATCGGCGCTTAGCAAGATGTGGAATGAGTCGTTTGATTGTGCTCCAAGACACGATAGAGGTTGCGGAGACGGTGTCTAACTCCATCTGGCATGGGTTTCCTTCAATGTTGACAGTCAGCTGGATCATCTTTTGTAGGCTGTGGCATGACTTGCCAGTTGATCAGGTCACAGTGAGTCGCCTTCCGGAGAATGGCATGGCAATCGACTCTAGGTTTCTTATGACCATCCTGCCTGCCCCGGAACTGCCGCAGCCTGGAACTCTGAGGAGGACATGGGCTGGGCAGCCCGGCACACCCTGGCGATGTGGCCTTTTCTGCCGCAGTGTTGGCAGAGGGCTTGCCTGAATCTACATTCAGCTCTCTCGTGGTTGCCTCCGCACCCACTACATGCAGATTTAGGGTCACCCCTGCGTCTTTGGAAGCTCTTTTTGTTCACCTCATGAAGGCGGTTAATGTCCTCCTCCCCATTGGGGTCTGAGTCTTCGCTCTCATCCCCTTGGGGCGCGGCAGCCGTGCTGAAAGTTCCTGAGGGGCAGCAGGCTGGTTTTGGGTGATGGTGGCTAAGGAGGATGCAGCCAGCTCAGCGGCGCGAGCTTCATCAAAAGCGGACTGGAAGGACAGGTCAGCCTTCGCTAGAAGGCGCCTCTGGAGCCTCAGGTCACGAATGCCACAAACCAGATGGTCGAGAAGGGCCTCGTCGAGGTCCCTAAATTCACAGTGAAGGACTGCTGACTGTAGCGCAGTGACATAGTTGTTAACGGATTCACCTTCATTTTGATTCCGCTGATGGAAGGCGTGCTGGCGGGCAATTTTGGATGGCGATGGGGTGTAATCGCTCTTCAGCTTGGCTATCAGCGTTTGCCACGGGACTGCCTTGATGGGGTTGGGGGCTGTGAGAGCCCTTGCCGTATGGAACACATCAGTTCCACAAACTGACAGGAAAAATGTGCATTTCCTTTCATCCGTCAACTCGGTGAGGTCGTGTGCGACCAAGAAGCATTCAAACCGGGCCGTATAGGACTCCCACGTCTCGGAGCCCTGGCTGAACAGCGCAAATGTTAACATGGCCATTCCTGTCAGGCTGGCAGCGACATCTCGTCGCGACAGAGAAACTCGGTTCCTTAGTGACTCATCTAGTGACTTCAGCGGTAGTGACCAACTAACTCACGCCTCAGTTCGGCAATCCCATCCTCGTCGCCAGTATTGTGTACTAGGACCGTGGGTTATGCCGGAATGACTGAGGCGGAGACAGGAATAAAGAGGCTAACAAGTTTATTCCTCAAAGTAACAAGCTAACAGTGTGGAACCGGCTTTAGACTGGAACAGCGGCTTCTCATCTGACAGCTCCCTTTTTATACTAGGAGCTGTCAGACGGTCAGCCAATCAGCTGTCGAGTAACTCCCGCTTAAACACAACTTTATTGAGCATGCTCAGAACGTGACATAAAATATTTCCTTTTAAATAAAATAGAGGAGAAGGACCACTTTTTTGTTCAGGAAAAAAGAGATTCTAAGGTTGATTACTTTCATTAACTAAATTGTCTTTAGTTTAGTCTCCCAAATAATAACTTTAAATTAAATTATTTGTTGATTTGTCAATTGATTTGTCTAGGTTCGGACTAGCATCCTGGCAGAAAACAAAGATCCAAGGACAGACAGTGGGGTAGGTTAATTGTTGATATATGTGTCTATATATATTTACATTAGAACAGATAATGGTAAAATGATGTTAACATTGTAATGCTTAGCTATTCACAACTTTCATAAATTACATCTATGCAAAATATTCAAGAATTGAACATACAACCATGGCATTTCCTAGGTACTTTTCTTTGTATGTTGTTATAGTCAGAGGTGGTATTCAGCAGGTTCTGACCAGTTCTGGAGAACCAGTAGCAGAAATTTTGAGTAGTTCGGGGAACTCTCAAAATGCCACCTCTGACTGGCCTCACCTTCACCTATTCTCTGCCTACTGAGTCCCAGCTGATCAGAAGGAAATGGGAATTTTGCAATAACCTTCCACTGGAGTGGGGTGGGAATGGAGATTTTACATTATCCTTCCCCTGCCACGCGCACCAAGCCATGCCACACCCACAAAGCCATGCCACAGAACTGGTAGTAAAATTTTTTGAATCCCATCACTGATTATAGTAGGAAGTAATCCAGACTCTGTAACAGTTCTATAGTACCTTTCTGTATAAACATAGAATTGATATTTTCCTTTCTACTCCTTTCCTTTTCATCTAGTTCAATCTGAAGAAAGACTCCAAGTAACATTTTATTTTTCATTGCATTACATTTGTTGATCACTCTTGCCAAAATTGTCTGCATTGAATACCACAGTTTTTCTATGAATGGTCATATTATTTTGAGAATTATCAGTGTCAGTCACCATCTCTTAGGCCTAGGAAAGTGGCAAGGGCAAACTACTTCTGAAACATCTTGCCAAGAAGATTTGAAGGACTAGTCCAGGTATCCGCAGGGAGTCAATACTGACTCTTAAAAATAAATAAAATGGCTACCATATTTTTTGGAGTCTATACCAGAGTATAAGATGCACCAAGGTTTTGAAGAGGCAAATTAAAAAAAAGTTTTTGCACTCTGCAAACATCCCAAAAATGGCCTGTTTTTCGTGAAAACTGGCCTGTTTCCCTCCTCCCCAAAAAAGGCATGAATAGCCTTTAGGGGGCTTGCAGAGTGCTCGGGGGGGGGGGCAAAAATGAGCCAAAAATGGCCTGTTTTTCGTGAAAACTGGCCTGTTTCCCTCCTCCCCAAAAAAGGCATGAATAGCCTTTAGGGGGCTTGCAGAGGGCTCGGGGGGGGGGCAAAAATGAGCCAAAAATGGCCTGTTTTTCGTGAAAACTGGCCTGTTTCCCTCCTCCCCAAAAAAGGCATGAATAGCCTTTAGGGGGCTTGCAGA